GAGCAGGACGTGCAGGTGGCACAGGAGGGGGACAGAGAGTTGGGGTGACTGCACAGGGCGTTCTGCTGGAGCTGCCCCAAGCTGACCGTCACTGTCAGCATCAGGCCATCTACTCATCCTCGGTGCTCTCTTACACGCAGACCATGAGCCAGACAGCTTCCCAGGTGGTACAGGAAACGTGAAGCAGGAAAAATGTGATTGTTATCCTGCATGCTGCCTTTAAATATTGTGTGAAGCATTTGATGGGTTAAAGGTTGCCTGAAATGCAAGATTGTACAGTGTGTTTTCCAGCAAACTGTAACCTCTCAAAAAGTCTTCATGACTTCACCATACTGGTACCTACATCTGTTCAAGGGATAAAATAAGACACTCTGCTGTAGGCTGTAGGTCACATCATGGGACTACTCATTTTTCCTCTTCTCTCTCCTCTTTGAAAGGTATTCAGGAATCTCCAGTACCAAATGGCCATTCTCTACCAAGCAGAGATTTTCTTCGGAAGCAGATGCGAGGAGACCTTTTCACCCAGCAGCAGCTAGAAGTGTTGGATCGTGTCTTTGAGAGGCAACATTATTCTGACATTTTTTCAACAACCGAGCCCATCAAACCAGAGCAGGTACCGGTGCAAATATTTCATGTTTTCCTGATCTGCTTTCCAGAGATCTGTTTGGTGTACATGACCAAAGGCGTTTCAGTTTCAGTTTACAAATATGGAGACACGTCTTGTCAAGCTCATTTCAGCCAAGCCCATGTTAGCTATTAAAACCTATTAGAAAATTAAGGTAAACACTCACTGTGCAATCATCAGCAAGTGTTTGGCTATGAAATGACACCTGATCTGGACCAGTGGCATCAAAAGAATCTCTAAAGAGCACCACAGCTTCTGATGTTTTTTGTTAGATCAAAAGCAGGCAGTGCAGGTAACAAGGAGAAGACTTGCAAAACTCAGTACCTAATTTTGGTTCACAGTGAGTATGATTGTGGACACAAATTCAAATTTTTGTATCCAGAAGTGGCTTATTAGACATGTAACTGGCCATTTGCTGCAACATCCGATTAGTATGTGAAGATAAATTAATTGCACCTATGGATCTAGAGTGTGTTTGAGGAGGACTTGGCACTAATATTTTGGAAAAATTCAATTTTTTGCAGGCATAGCATAGAAGCACATGAAAAAACTGATTAGCTATGTCTCTCTGTGTTCTTCTTCTTAGGTGGCAGTATTTAATTTAGCTGCTGAGAAGGAGGTAGAAATTAATATATTGCTGTCAGCACCGATATTGGTCTAGCTTGCTACTTAATGATGTATTCAGCCATTAATCTTCAGTGTTCTTAATATCAGACATGCTTTTTAGCAAGGTGGATGGACTTTTCTAACACTGATTCCCCTTGGAAGAATCCATACATTTGAGGGCCATTGGAGATGCTCTCATGGCTGCCTACTACCAGTGTGGCTTCAGTTAAGGAATGCGCATACTTTTTAAAAAATGATTTACTTATGCTGCAAGTGCTGTGGCAGAGCAGGAGCTGCTGATGCCTTTGAGCTCGGGCCGTGGCTGTGTCGGGAAGGTGAAGTGGCCTTCCCGTGCCACTAGATGGTGGTTATCCCATCCGAGCCCGGGGATGCTGGCGAGGGCAGGCTCCGTGCCCAGGGCCGTGGCCAGCCTTCCCAGCGCTGGGCACCTGGCAGCTGTGCCTTGCTGGATCTGCTCCTGCAAAACTGCAGGGGTTGGCCACAACAGCAAAGGGAGCAGCGACAGGAGGGGGCTTTTGGTTTGTTTTTCTGGTCTGGAGCCTCGTAGCCATGGCCAGCTGCAGCTCATGGGAGACCGTCCAGCAGTGAGTGAACATTTATTCAGACATAAATTTTACAGGTTTTATAGGAAGAATGGGAGATTCGAATAAGGATATTGCTGAAGTGTTATCCCAATTATCAAATACGAGATATTTGTATTTGCTCTTGATGGAGAAACGATCTCCCAGGGCCACATAAGGAGCTGTGACTAGAATGGCTCAAAGCAGCCAGATTATTAAAATAGGAGATATGCTGATATTAATATGATGAACAGGATACTCCTTGCATGCTCTGAGAAGTCAAGTAGGATGCTGAGAAATCTGACATTATGAGATCCAAAATGTGCTTTGTAGAACCATGTTGCCAGGCATTTTTACATGTAATTACAAAAGAAATCTTTAGTTGTTTGTTTTCATATTTCTTGGAGTATGGTCTTTGCTTTTAGAAGGCTGGACCATGGTTAAGGTCTTGTGGCTATTTGGGGTCAGTTTCTGCTTTCTGAAGGTATGTGAAGGGTAACATTCAGCATGACCAGATGTGATCTGTACGACTTGCTGTGGTTCACGGAGATGCTGTGTGAGCCCCAGTTCTTGCAGAAACAGCCTTGTCTCACCTCCTTGGTGAGTCAAGCAAAGCTGGTATGATGCTCAGCCAAAGTGCAGAAGCTGTCTGCATCAATTAGTAAGGCCAAAGAAATCAATGAGAAATCAAATACTGAGGATATTAATGACATGCCTTGGAAAACCAGAGTTGTCCCTGGATTAGACGCTGTAGTAAAGCAAGATCTGCCAGTGACATTTGTCTGTCCAAAATGCTGCTAGACCCCAAAGTGGTGTTTTAGGAGCTAAATCAGGGGTGGATGTATGGAGCTTTGGGCTCTTTGTGTTGAGGAAAGTAAAGAAAAGGTACTCCTTCCCATGGAGACAGGATGTGGGAAGAAGACTGGTATGAGCTGCTGACCCACTTTACCCGTTTTATTAGAGATGTGATCCAGCAGCAGCCAGCTGAACCCCACTAATTTTACTTTGGCACAAAACTTACTGATGCACCAGTACTGTTAACTTGGGGAGGACCCCAGGTACTTTATTGGAATAACTGTTACTCTATACACCCTGTAGATCCCTTTTCCTCCCTGTTTTGTGGCTCCTCACTTGCGTGCTGGTGGCAGGCCCTGGGCAATGGTGAGGGAGAGAGAAGTCCCTCCTGCACAGCACAGTATTTGCAGCCTCATCAGGCTTGGTTCCCAGGTGCTGCCCAAAGCCCTCCTGGTGCATTTTCTGCACAAAATTTGTCCTTGCCTTTTTTGGGTCCATTGCCCTTTATGCAGGTAGAGCGGCTGATGGGCTGTGTGGGAGTAATTGCTCAGCAGTGTGTAACCCTCTGCTTTCAGTTCTTCCAACCCAGTTCCTTCAATTCCCCATCTTGATGTTTCCCTCAGTTAACCTGCATAAAATGGGGGCTCTTGAGTTATTTATCATCTTATGACACAGTGAGACTATGATGCTAATAACACCAAGACTGTGGGCTCAATTCCTTAAGAGCTGGAGTCTTAAGAGTTGGAGTCAATTATCCCTGTGGGTCCCTTCCAACTCAGAATATTCTGTGAATCTGCGAGTCTATGCTGTACTGTTGACAACAGTCATATTAACTTTCACATCTGCTGTAGACTGTGGTGTCTAGAGAGAGACTGATGATGAATGGATAGTTGTATTTGGGGAAGGGCTCATACTGTGTTGGGAGAGAAGGCAACCACTGGACAGTGACAGGGAAATAAAGCATCAGACAGTGCTTTGGGAGAGACAGCGGTGGTTGTGTGTGCTGGGTGAGGCAGGGATCCCACCGTGTGCTCCTGCCATTAAAGACTGTCACAAGTTGTGCATCAAGGGGCAGCAGTAAGGCATCAGCTGTTCCTTGCCTTGTTTTGCAGCCTAACATCCAGTGGTGCAGCTGGGCAGAGGTACACGTGTGCTCTGCAGCACAGGTCTGTTCCCTGCCTGTGTGGGACATGAAAAACATGCAGTTTTCATGGCGGAGGGAGCCAGGGGCTGAGGGCTGTCTGTGCAAACAGCACCAAGGCCTTTCATGTCTGTGTGTCGTGGGGAGGAACCATGACATCAAGCCAGTACTGAGAAGCACTCTGGCCCACCTCCCCTAACAAAGCCCTGCTATAAAAAGGAATGCTTCTGTTAAGGGAATTCATAAGAATGAAGGACTTTCTCTTATGTTTATGCCCTTTTGTGCTCATTTTCTGCAAACAGGCCATTATTACATTGCACAGGCTGCAAATGCTCACAGAAGAGTGACTTCACTTATTTCTGGGCACGGGTATGGAAAGGCACATAGTGGTGTGTTTGCAACACCAGTGTTGCACTGCCACTCTGTACACGGCTGCTGTGTGCCAGCTCAGTGCGTCTCATCCCTCTGCAGGAACAGTGCCTGCCACCATGTGATGCCAGACCTTGTCATTGTCAGACCCCGGGAAAGGCGAGCCTGCACAGCAGCTCCCACCGTCTCTGTGCTCTGTGTGTGTGTGTGTGTGAGTGTGTGTGAGTGAGTGTGTGTGTGTGTGTGTGTGTGCGTGTGCATGGGCCCCGCTGCCCCGCAGTGTGCTGGCTCTGCAGTGCCCGCAGGGAGGGCAGATTCCCTTGGAACAAATCAAACAAGGAGTGGCTTTTACCTGTCTGCCTGGCCCGGGACTGTGCTCTGCACCTATACCTGTGTCAGACCAGCATGCTTCAGCCTGGCCTCTACTGCAGGCAGCCCCCATTGCTCATGGTCAGGCTTTATCTGCAACTGCCACTCATCCTGTGCAGAGAGTTGCAACACGGAGTGGCACAATTTCCCAGTGCTTGTTGTTCATGAAGGCCTGGAGGAACGGGAAGCACTGGCTGTCTTCAGCAAATCCCTCTGTGTGACTGTGTGGGGGGATTATCCTCCAGTGGCTTCCTCTGGTTCCAGCCAGAAGGATGGAGGAGCTCTCCGCAGCACCTTTGGGAAATTGTCCCAGACTGCCAAGGCTGTGCCATCTGTTTTGTGAACTGTTGACTCAGGCAATTCTCCAGTGAAAGCACTGACCAAGACAGGAGATGCTCTTGGACACCCAGGGGAGTCAAGGAGACCTGAGGCCCTCAGGTCTGGGAGGCTGGACAAGTGCAGGAAAGCCCCATTGGAGCAGGCAGGGGGCAGGTCCACTGGTGAAGGCTGTGAGAGTGGGATTAATGCATCTACAGGTGAAAAATGCAGGGTGAAGGATATACAGCTGCACTGGCTCAATGGGAGAGACAGTGCGTTAATTTTCTCAGAATAAAGAAAGGAATTATCCATGCTGGATTTCTGTCCACAACAGAAATGGATTCTTTTGTACTTTCAGTTTCTCACATGGGTCCAATCGAATACTCATTGAAGCCAAGAGGAATATTTCTATTGACTCCAATAAAGTTTAGATCAGGGCCATAATGAGGCATAACATGATGTGACCAGATTCAACACTATGTAGGTCACCAGCTAAGATGATAACTGCCTGCTGCTAATAGCAAATAATTCCTAGGCCTGTGCTGGTGCTTTCCCACTTCTTTAAGCTTGAACTAAACAGAATATCTGTTCTCAGATTGATTTCTGGATAAAATTTTTGGTATTTTCACATATTCTGTGCTCACACAGAAACCAGTAACGTGGCAAACACATAGTAACACAGGTATTCATGACACAGAGTGCAGATAAATGTGAATCTGGAGACAGGCAGATAGAATCTGGGTAACTAATGAAATTTAGATAGCCAAGGAATCTCCCCAGAATTACTTATGATTTGGAAGAAGTGGAAG